ATTTTTTGCTTATTGCATTGTGTAGGGAGCCTCATAACTGCAAATGTTTCAAGATAATGTGGTACCTGCTATGTGGTATATGCAAACAGAAGTTGGTAACACAATTTGGTTCCAACATGACGGTACATGGCCGCATACTGCTCTGGTGTTGAGAAGTTTCCTCGATTCGGAATTCAGCTGCAGACGGATTGTCTGAGGAGGACCAAAAACATGGCCTCCAAGATCAACTTATCTGTCTCCTTTGGCCTTCTTTTTGTGGGCATATATAAAGCAAATAGTTTGTTCCCTAAAACAGAAAACGATCGAGGAACTAAAGCAGATTCTCGTCGCGCAGTGCAAAAGTATTACAATTGCTACTATTCTGAAGGTGGAAGAAAACTATCTTCGCCGTATTTTGCTATGCAAGCAGCAGGATGAAAAACATATTGAACAACTTTTATGAAATAAGTATGCATTTTTCTATAATATTTATTCTTTCTTTCTTTCGGAATGGTATCTCATCCGTAGATCGTTCAACGCGAAAAAGCCAGTTAATAAAACTCCAATAAGAGTTTTGTGTTGGCCTATATTAGTGGATATTGTAGTCTGTACAGAAGACAAGTTTCTGTGTTATGATTATCCGTTTACCCAACGGGCTTAGAAAAATAGTAAATGTATCTTAGACGAGTCAAACGTTTCCGCCTGAGCTGACCCGGTGGGTCTATCGATCGGGACTATTGATTGTTTCACCCGTGACCCGTTGATCGTCGCCGGTTTGTTGTTCGCCCCCACCATTCCACGCTTTCTCGATACTTTTAAGCCATTTCGCTTCCTTCGGTCCACTGTTCCGCACATACACACACACACACAAGTTCATTGTTCCTATCCCACATAAGATTTGTAATTTGACCCCGTACATTTGATTGGCTGGTTTCAGTCATTGGACTCTTGTGCACATGGGCCACCTAGAGCTTTCTGACCATTGACTTGGACTGAATTGCGCCCACCAGCAATCGGTAAGTCTTAAGCTTTGGCAACCCTTGAGAGTTCCTTTGGACACAGAAGAACACTGTTTGTGCCTTGTGAGTGCAACCATGCACTCTTTGATTTGCCTCATGATTCGAGTTTTGCACCTGTTTTGCAATAATCATTAGTTGCCCACAATAGTTGCGTATTTTATTAAAATCTCGTCTTGTGTTTAATTCGGAATTTGCGTGTCACTCGCCCTTTAGCGCGGATTTCCAGTGTGCAATCCAGGATCTTCTCCAAAGATTCTCCAGTGATATGTTTTCTGCCCATTGGAAACATGCTTCCCCTTTGAAACAGACTTTCTTTTAATTTAAGAATACAATGAAAGACGTTCCGCGTGGAACTAACCAGAACACAATACAATGCACTTTCCCTAAGTACCCATTTCAGTAGCTTGTCACTCAAGTGATCATACAATCCTTGTATACAATCAAACTTTTGAGGTTCAGAAGAGCAATCGTAGGCCTGGTTCTGGAGAACATAGCTCCATTGACCTTGGAACTGAATTCCTTATCAACAAAACTTTGAATGGCTTAGATACGTGTTCTTCTCCGTTGAAATCTCAGAACACATACAAAATGATTGTGCAAAACTAAATAATTAGTTCAGTCACTATTGGTTTAAGCAGTGATGCTGCAAAATTTCTGTATGCCATACCCAGCTGTACTCCGGATCAGCTGAAGTTAAGTGAATCACTTTCCAGACAGGTCATTTACATTCCGTGAGAAAATCAGTTGAACACAAATCTCCGAAATTTCGCAAACCTTGGCTCATCAAAGAACGACTAAAGGATGATTCAGAAAAATCATCCCATTGAGTGTATGAGGTGAATTACAAAGTTGTAACCATCAATACTGAAGACTAAACCGTGTGAAAGGTATTGATACCAGTAAACCAGTTTTGGACTTGTATAATTATTTAGAGGTACCACACCTTAAATTGGTGTTCTCGAAAAGTAATGCTACTGTTTCCATTGTCGTAAACTTCAGGAAACTGATCAAAATGGCTGTAAAATAAACTTCCGGAGGATTTAGGTATAACCCGTTTTGGATTTACAGCAACATTTCATCTGAATTAACACAAGTCTGCTTCTTTTCACATAATATAGCCAAACGGTAAGACTTTAAAAATAACTACGACGAACGCATAACCGGTATCACTATTCTAAACATCGTTTGAACCTAAGCAGTTCCTACCCTGATCACGGCTTCTGTCTCATGCCAATTGAAAAAAGAAATAGGAATCCATCAATCTTGCGGTAGTGATAAACCTAGTGATAAACCGGTCATATCAACCCGCATATCCGTATCCCACGAACGATGCATAAGATGTTCCACATCCTTTTATCTTTCCAGACAGCTTTGCTCTCTTTATCTGCTGGTTTAGTGGTTTATTTTTTCAATAACAGGAAATAAAAGGAGCAATATATCACAGGGACCACCAAACTTAGCTGATTGCATACAGTTATAAAGGTTTGGTGAAGGTGTTTTCTTCTTAAAACTGACTGCCACCGAATTCAAATTCCGCGATATATAACTAATCCGCAGCACTCCACTGCCCTCGTGCTATATGCACTAAAATTCCCCTTCGGAATGAAATATTTCAATGGAAACGTTTAGATTAACTTTTTTCATGATTACGGAAATGGGGTAAAACCTTTTCCAATATATCTTCAAAAACAAAAGAATGCTGTGACTCTTGAAAAGTTGAAATAATTTTACCGGATATCTGTTTCGAATTTCCAGGAAACGTTAGGTAATAAAAATAGATCTTATATATATATATTTTTTCATGGTTATGCCGTCAGTGATGACCCACGATAAGAATTCCGCTGGCGGACACTTTTCTTCTATTTGTGCGCTCAATGTAATCATTGTTACTCCTTTTTTCGTATACGTCTGCGAGCTTGTTGTATAGTGCAAATGCAATTCCGTACATACGCGATTTTGGATAGTTCCACAGTGCTATCGAAACAAAAGTGAGACAGGTAAACCATGATAACCTACTCCGCTTAGAACTCAGTTTATAGATATTGTACTGTGTCAAAAATCTTCTCTATTCATATCTTTTCGATTACTACAAAATGTCCAAAACACATCAGAATACGATATTCTGGAAAAGTTAGTCAAATGTATTTCGAATTATCACACATTTATTAATGAAATGGGTGTGGCAAATCCCCTGATTGATTGATTGAATGAGTGCAAACGACACCTGGAACTGACGACCTCAAACCTCAACCGTCCACAAAGGTTCCGGGCCACGTTTTGCGAACGGTGGATTCACGTGACCAAAGTTCAACTCGGACGGATAGCAGTATACTCGAAACTGCCTCAAGTAGGCCTGGGCCCATTTTGCGGTTTCCACATTGCAACCGGTCGGTCGTGTTGATGCGAGGCCCTCGGACGGGATGAAGTAACCACAACAAAGAAGGAGGAACAGGGACACCAGCACAAGTTGCCGCATCGCCTGGGTGATCCACACAGGTACACAACCGGAACGGTAAT